CCATGTGACAATACCATCACTTGTACTTTATCTAAGCATTGTGACCATGTGACAATACCATCACTTGGACTTTATCTAAGCATTGTGACCATGTGATAATACCATCACTTGGACTTTATCTAAGCATTGTGACCATGTGACAATACCATCACTCGGACTTTATCTAAGCATTGTGACCATGTGACAATACCATCACTTGGACTTTATCTAAGCATTGTGACCATGTGACAATACCATCACTTGGATTTTATCTAAGCATTGTGACCATGTGACAATACCATCACTTGGACTTTATCTAATCATTGTGACCATGTGACAATACCATCACTTGGACCTTATCTAAGCATTGTGACTGTGTGACAATACCATCACTTTGACTTTATCTAAGCATTGTGACCGTGTGACAATACCATCACTTGGATTTTATCTAAGCATTGTGACCGTGTGACAATACCATCACTTGGACTTTATCTAAGCATTGTGACCATGTGACAATACCATCACTTGGACCTTATCTAAGCCTTGTGACCGTGTGACAATACCATCACTTGGACCTTATCTAAGCATTGTGACCGTGTGACAATACCATCACTCGGACTTTATCTAAGCATTGTGACCATGTGACAATACCATCACTTGGACTTTATCTAAGCATTGTGACCATGTGACAATACCATACCTCAGACTTTATCTAAGCATTGTGACCATGTGACAATACCATCACTCGGACTTTATCTAAGCATTGTGACCATGTGACAATACCATCACTTGGACTTTATCTAAGCATTGTGACCATGTGACAATGCCATCACTCGGACTTTATCTAAGCATTGTGATCATGTGACAATACCATCACTTGGACTTTATCTAAGCATTGTGACTATGTGACAATACCATCACTCGGACCTTATCTAAGCATTGTGACTGTGACAATACCATCACTTGGACCTTCTCTAAGCATTGTGACCATGTGACAATGCCATCACCTGGACTTTATCTAAGCATTGTGACCATGTGACAATACCATCACTTGGACTTTATCTAAGCATTGTGACCATGTGACAATACCATCACTTGGACTTTATCTAAGCATTGTGACCACGTGACAATGCCATCACCTGGACTTTATCTAAGCATTGTGACCATGTGACAATACCATCACTTGGACTTTATCTAAGCATTGTGACCATGTGACAATGCCATTACTTGGACTTTAGCTTAGTATTGTGACTGTGACACTGCCATCACTTGGACTTTATCTAAGCATTGTGACCATGTGACTACCATCACTCGGACTTTATCTAAGCATTGTGATCATGTGACAATACCATCACTTTGACTTTATCTAAGCATTGTGACTGTGACAATGCCATCAGATGTGTTGATATTCTGTAAACAGATGTTTTTAAAAGCAAATATTTTAATGACACATACAATAGCTGGATGATTTATTGTGAAGCTTAATCATGTGGCAAGTTTTGAATATTTCATCTCTTTCATTACACAAACATTATGACTGCCATTGCCTGTAACTTGGGGCTTTGTAACATTGTGTCTTTATAAGTAAACTATGAGCCTGTTAAATAGGAAATAACTTTATTATCATACACATAATGAATCCCAATACATATATTATTGTATAGATTGTTTCACATCAAACAATGTAAGGTTGTACAAAAGACAGAAATGAATACCACCGTTCAATACCAATTGAGACCGAAATACAGGAAAGCAATATAAATCAATTAAACAGCATCATACAGCTGTTTCTATGTTGTTCTCTTGGAGTAAGGAAAAATGTTTTCATGAGTGAAATAAGAAATATCTGGTATTAAATCCAAGTCTTTAAAGAATATATTACTATGCAAATGCATAATACACATGAAACATCCTTTCCTGATTGTAATGTGGAGAAATATTGACAGTATCATTTTGGACCCTGACTACAAAACAAATCTACTCCTTTTTGAGATCCTTGAATAAATTTCAGCCAATTATCAAATCAATGTACCTAGAGACTTACACTCCAGAATCAACGGTGCTATCAAAAATCACTTGTACAACCTGTACCATCAAATATCTAAATAGGGTACCACCAGCTACACACGTTACTTGTACTACAAAGACCAATATGTGTGTGTCACCTGTACCATCAAATATCTAACTAGGGTACCACCAGCTACACACGTTACCTGTACTACAAAGACCAATATGTGTGTGTCACCTGTACCATCAAATATCTAGAGTACCACCAGCTACACACGTTACCTGTACTATAAAGAACAATATGTATATGTCACCTGTACCATCAAATATCTAACTAGGGTACCACCAGCTACACACGTTACCTGTACTATAAAGAATAATATGTGTATGTCACCTGTACCATCAAATATCTAACTAGGGTACCACCAGCTACACACGTTACCTGTACTACAAAGACCAATATGTGTATGTCACCTGTACCATCAAATATCTAACTAGGGTACCACCAGCTACACACGTTACCTGTACTATAAAGAACAATATGTATATGTCACCTGTACCATCAAATATCTAGAGTACCACCAGCTACACACGTTACCTGTACTATAAAGAATAATATGTGTATGTCACCTGTACCATCAAATATCTAACTAGGGTACCACCAGCTACACACGTTACTTGTACTACAAAGACCAATATGTGTGTGTCACCTGTACCATCAAATATCTAACTAGGGTACCACCAGCTACACACGTTACCTGTACTACAAAGACCAATATGTGTGTGTCACCTGTACCATCAAATATCTAGAGTACCACCAGCTACACACGTTACCTGTACTATAAAGAACAATATGTATATGTCACCTGTACCATCAAATATCTAACTAGGGTACCACCAGCTACACACGTTACTTGTACTACAAAGACCAATATGTGTGTGTCACCTGTACCATCAAATATCTAACTAGGGTACCACCAGCTACACAAGTTACATGTACTATAAAGAACGATATGTGTATGTCACCTGTACCATCAAATATCGAACTAGGGTACCACCAGCTACACACGTTACCTGTACTACAAAGACCAATATGTGTGTGTCACCTGTACCATCAAATATCTAGAGTACCACCAGCTACACACGTTACCTGTACTATAAAGAACAATATGTATATGTCACCTGTACCATCAAATATCTAGAGTACCACCAGCTACACACGTTACCTGTACTATAAAGAACAATATGTGTATGTCACCTGTACTATCAAATATCTAACTAGGGTACCACCAGCTGCACACGTTACCTGTACTACAAAGACCAATATGTGTGTGTCACCTGTACCATCAAATATCTAACTAGGGTACCACCAGCTACACAAGTTACCTGTACTATAAAGAACAATATGTGTATGTCACCTGTACCATCAAATATCTAACTAGGGTACCACCAGCTACACACGTTACCTGTACTATAAAGAATAATGTGTGTATGTCATCTGTACCATCAAATATCTAGAGTACCACCAGCTACACACGTTACCTGTACTACAAAGAACAAAATATGGGTATTTCATCGGTAAAGATTTCCTTTACATCATAGGAATAATCATCGATAGAGAAGGAATTTCTCATACAACACAGGAATAGTCATCGGTAGAGAATGAATTTCTCATACATCTCGGGAATAGTCATCGGCAGAGAATGAATTTCTCATACATCTCGGGAATAGTCATCGGTAGAGAAGGAATTTCTCATACATCACAGGAATAGTCATCGGTAGAGAATGAATTTCTCATACATCTCGGGAATAGTCATCGGCAGAGAATGAATTTCGGGAATAGTCATCGGCAGAGAAGGAATTTCTCATACATCTCGGGAATAGTCATCGGTAGAGAAGGAATTTCTCATACATCTCGGGAATAGTCATCGGTAGAGAAGGAATTTCTCATACATCACAGGAATAGTCATCGGTAGAGAATGAATTTCTCATACATCTCGGGAATAGTCATCGGTAGAGAAGGAATTTCTCATACATCTCGGGAATAGTCATCGGCAGAGAAGGAATTTCTCATACATCTCGGGAATAGTCATTGGTAGAGAATGAATTTCTCGTACATCACAAGAATAGTGATCGGTAGAGAAGGAATTTCTCATACATCTCGGGGGGAAAAGTCATCGGTAGAGAAGGAATTTCTCATACATCACAGGAATAGTCATCGGTAGAGAAGGAATTTCTCGTACATCGTGGTAATAGTCATCGGTAGAGAAGGAACTTCTACTTCGCGGGAATAGTCATCGGTAGAGAATGAATTTCTCATACATCTCGGGAATCGTCGATTTATTTACTGGTGTAGTGTATTCGGTTGACTTGTTTCCCACCAAAGCTAACCACTGCCCACAGGACTCCTTCCCTGTCCAGACTTACAAACCATGCTGCGCCTATGTCCTGGTGGAGACGCCTAAGATATTTTCCTGTACCACTTAGAAGATGTATTGAGTGGTTGACGCGGTCAGCAATGATTATCTGTCCTAGGCTATCGTATGCTACATCAAATGGATCAAATGGCCTTCTTGCAGTCATGTCGTTGTGTTGTGGTCGTCCGTATCGATATATCAGCTGTAGGTGTTTGTTCATCACAGCGATATGTGGTTGGTCCTTCCCGCCATCTATTACCTTGTCGCCGTCAACTACAGCCACATTCTCACTGTCAGGACATTGTGATATCTTCCAAGGTGTACACACTAATGGTTTTCCGTACTGTGTTGTGGTGACTGTGTCTATTGTTTCTCCTCCACGTTCGTATTTCACTATTTTATTCTTCATTCCGACAAGGACGTGGTCATCTTTTGTTACACATATGCATTTGGGGATATCCGATGTCTTGAACCTACAGATTAGAGCACCACACTCCAGCTCTGTGACGCTGTTGTCCGTATGAGAACATGCCCAGAGAGTGTGTGTAGTAGGAGATGTACTGATGTCTCTAACACTTGCTGGATTTTCTATCTGTTTCTCTATCCTTCCTTGGTTACTCATCAATGTGACAGTTGTGCTATTGTCAGAGGTCCACATACCGCACCCACTAGCTGGACAGATAGATGTTATGTCACACGGTGACTTCCACTTCATTAAAACCTTGGCCTCTTGACAATCTTTACTAATATCTGCTATTGGAGGACCTAGTGCAGTTCTCAAGTCCTCGGGAAATTCCTCACTTTCAAGATTTCCTTTAAAAACGAAGATTTTACCACGTCTTTCTACCTTGGGAAATTGCGAAATCGCCCATCGATCTCCGGAGCCAACATCCGTCTGAATTTCCTTTGACGACAGTTTAATACCGGGCATACCTAGAGTAACTAATCCTTCTGAGGCTTTCTCTTGAGACTGTTGAGGTGACGTTACGACCAGCTTACCCATTGCTTGCAGCAGGAATTTATTTAAACTTAAGGTAGGGTAGAAACTTGCGTCACCTAGACAAGGCTTGGCTGGTTTTGTGTTGTGATTTTGGAGTCCACAAGCGATATCAAACAACATAATATCTGTGCCACTCTGGAGAGATTTCTTACACTCTTCGGTTTGTTGTTTTAATGTTTCAAGCTTAGTCTCAAGTTCTATCCGGTACTTAAGGATTAGTCTGGTATTGTCCTCTTCCACATGCTTCAACTGAGAGAGTGCTTGTGATATCAGAACATCGATCTCCTCTTTAAGCCTTTCTCCTTGTTCTTGCACTTTTGCTGCTACTGTTTCGAAATGACTCAAATGTTTTTGTAGATCATGTTCAGTAGACTTTATTTCTTGTTGAAGTTGAACAAGTGTGTTTTTCTCTGTATCATTGACAAATGCTTTAATTTTGGAGTGATGTTTTGGCGTTTCCTCACTCAGCTGGATAAACACGTGACCGCTGTGAGTAGTTGAAATACATCTCGCACATATTACGTGACAACACGTTTTACAGAACCATTCTAGAACAAACTGTCTGTGATACACACACGTATTGTGACCTTGACCTCGAACTACTATCTGTCCTTTACAGAGAGACATGTTAACCCTGTGATTGTTCGCCAATGATCAGCAAGGTTAGAGACATATCCTAACATTCATGATTAGATATTTCTGTTTTAACGATGAAATAATTGAAGGGAAATGTTTCTTTCAATCATCCATACTGTTCAGTGTTTATGGTAACATATATTCGTTCCCATTTCTGGTAACATGATGTTGAATGTACTTTCATGTCTTCAAGTCCATAAGATGTGATATTTCTTCAATGGAAGGTAATGCAACCTGGTCTGGTTCTGTTAAAATAAGAGTTAAATTCGCCGTTAACTCAATGTCACCTAACCCATCATTAAATATATCAGTGAAACCATACCAAAATAGTCGGAAACAACTGTGGACCCAGGATGTATAATCATGACAAATTTAGTTCATTTTACACCACTCAAAAGGCTGCAATGTTTAAATTGTTAATGAAGTAGTGACAGACCATAATAGAGTTTAGAGAGCCTTGATAATACTCTTCGAATATGCACTAACATATATAAAATGGGGTTTATAACTAAAAACTGGAAAAAAACATAAGTCCATGTCATATCATAATACAAATTTAGAGTTAAATTACTTTAACGCAAATCACTGAAGACCTTATCAGTGGTATTACTTGGGCCCTGAATATCAAAATAATATCAAAACTAAAATCATATCATACTTTCCACAAAATTTGTATCCATTTCCCTTCAAATGTTTAGTTATCTCGCGATCATTAACGGGACTAAATGGTTAGATATGTAATTCATAGCATTATCGTTCGGTGAGTGTAAACAATGTCTTTGTGCATGCACGATGCGGGAAAATTTCCAAATTATATTAAAGCGGCGGGTTAAAACAAGGTTCCGTTAGGTCACGTGATGAACTCGGCTATCTCCGATCGAACAGCGAGTGTCGACAGTTTTAGTTTAAAGTTGATAATCGTTATCATTTTTTCCTCAAAAAGTGCTATAGTTTTGTGAATTGTCTAATTGTAAGTATTTCAACGCTTGGCCGAAATCAAACTTATGGAAAAATAACCATTTAGTCCCTTTAGTGTTTAGTGAATCTTATACATTATCACTCGTCAATATACAATCAACTTTGGGTGTGGGCAATACAATAAATTTATATAAAAACGACATCATTTAATGTAAGGTTAGTCATATGTAACAAACTCCTAAAACAATAACTTCATACCTGTTGTGTTGTGAACTCCATGCCATCCAGAGTACCTTTCTGTGAGTCTTAAGTAGATCCATCTGTCTACCTAGTCAGTAAAACTTCTCTCTAGTCAAGTGTAAACGTTCTACAGGTATATGTAAATACCTGTTACAAAATGAGGTCACTAGAACTGAAAATTTATATTTTTTTTGTTGATGTTTTACCCGTCGCCACTTCTCGGCGGCCTGTTTACAGTAGCGTATCGTGTTTTAGTAAAGTATCGGTCGTTTTGTGTTCTTACCAGATAACATTGTAAATCTGTCAGACAACTTGTACTTCAGTGGTCACCAGCGATACAATATCATCACCAGCTTTTAATTTACTACTATATAGTTTGTGATGTTTTGTTGACGTTTGTAACGTGTGCATTGTGTCTGCACATAACATGTAGGTATATCACCTAATTTCACAAAGTCACAAGGCTTTTGAAAATAAAATTGGATTGAAAAAAAGAAAAACGTCACTCAAAAATATAGACTAGATTAGTGTATGACAAAATGGGGATGTCATTTTTCATGCATTGTTTGTAATCACATTTCAGTAGAATATTTTATTTTCAATTGTTGGATATGTTTAAGCCCATTTTAGGTCATCTGACCCGAATGGTCATGATGACCTATTGTCATCGTGCTTTGTCCGTCCGCCGTTCGTCGTCTGCCGTGCGTAAACCTTTGATATTTCAAACTTCTTCTCAAGTTTCACCAATGGCATTGAGCTCCAACTTCCATGAAATGATCCTGAGATGGTCCTGATGAAGTTTTGCTATTTTTCGGGCATGTCTGAATCCAAGACGGCCGCCATGGAGGCCATTTGAAAAACATACTGTACACTTTTTCTCCAGTTCCACGGGTGCCATTGAGCTAAAAGTGTCGGGAATGTTAAGGGAAGGTAGCCAACAAAGTATTGTTATATTTCGACCTTGTCAAAACTTTGATACGGCAGCCAGGGAAGCCATTTTGTAACATAGTTGGCAATCATGGTTTTCCTGTGCAACATCTATTTCAAACTTCTTTAGTAGGATTGAGCTCCATATTTACTGTTAAAAAATACGTAACACTTGTTACAGTTACCATCTGCATCATTGAAAACAGCCTTTTAGTAAAATTTCATTCAAGGTAGGAAAAATAACCGTTCTCCCTTGCCGAAAAATTTGGCAGTCAGATGACCGTTATTTTAATGTCCTTAGTACATAGTATTGTATCTGACCTTTCACACAGATGGAATTCGAATTTGTCGCCATAAATCTTACCGAAAATGCATTGCTCATGTATAGAGAAATATTTGCCGACCCACGAATCAAAATAGTGAGAGATCCGCATCATATATATATGAATCGATGCAAGAAATCGATTTCAATGTCCTGAGTCTGGTACAAATAATTCGTTATTTTAATGTCTTAAGTCGGGTACAAATAATTCGTTATTTCAATGTGCTCAATCGAGTACAAATAATTAATTATTTTAATGTCCTTAGACGGGTACAAATAATTCGTTATTTCAATGTGCTCAATCGAGTACAAATAATTAATTATTTTAATGTCCTGGGTCGGGTACAAATAATTCGTTATTTTAATGTCCTTAGTCGGGTACAAATAATTCATTATTTTAATGGGCTCAATCGGGTACAAATAATTCATTATTTTAATGTCCTTAGTCGGGTACAAATAATTCGTTATTTTAATGTCCTCAATCGGGTACAAATAATTCATTATTTTAATGCCCTAAGTCGGGTACAAATAATTCGTTATTTTAATGTCCCGAGTCGGGTACAAATAATTCATTATTTTGATGTGCTCAATCGGTTACAAATAATTCAATATTTGAATGTCCTGAGTCGGGTACAAATAATTCGTTATTTTAATGTCCTGAGTCGATTACAAATAATTCATTATTCTAATGTCCTCAATCGGGTATGAATAATTCATTATTTTATTGGAAGGTTATTTTTTGCTTCCATGACGATACTTTTTTATACTATTTTCACAGGTTCCAGTTGTGGGATCGCACAACGTTACACGATGTGCGCATGATAGGAAAATTGGACAAAATAAAGCTATCGCACCTTTGTATGCACGTGCGTTTCTGTCGCAAAAAATGTGCGATTCTATCATGGTTAATACAAATTTAGAAATGACTTATAAATAAGTGTTTGGTAGAGTTTATTTATTTTCTAAATATGTAAGAGTACAACTAAGTAGATTGGACACTAGAAATATCAGATACACACTGAATAGCTAGATACACGCGTAACTTTTAGTGTTTTGTTTACAAAGAGCCACACGTGACCAGCCTTAGTGTACAGAAACACATTATATATGTAAACATTAAATGTTCATGTGTCACAGCAATGAATCATTTAAAATCTCATACCGTCAGAAAGGAAATTTAATTTTCATTATTCTGTATTACTGTCAGTTATTTTGTAAACAAAAAAGTATATGCTCAGGTAAACCTTACGTGTTGTGTTTTTAAACGGGCGACCCAGCCGGACGGACCAGAACCTGTCACGTATATACCCGTATACCGGTAAACGTTTTGTTGCCCGATGCACCACGACTCACCACTTTCTGAGATGTGAAACTATAATACGATAAGACTGATTAATGCAGGTCCAGTGTTATTTCGAAAACTGTTGAATTAAAAATTACTCTTATAATCACCGATCAATTTTAATGTTCATGTGATCGCTAGTTAGTAACAACTGCACGAATTTTCCGTTTAATTTACAATCCGTAATATAAGCCAACCATTTTTACCAAACCGCACAAAATGTGCGATCCTATCGCACAGTTGTGCGCACAATACTGTATCGTGCGCATGATACTCTATCGAACGTGTGTGTGCATGATACTGTATAGTGCGTGTGTGTGCATGATACTGTATTGTGCGTGTGTGTGCATGATACTGTATTGTGCATGTGGGTGCATGATATTCTATCGTGCGTTTGTGCGCATGATACTGTATCGTACCTGTGTGCATAATACTGTATCGTGCGTATGTGTGCATGATGCTGTGTCGTGTGTGTTTGTGTGTGCATGCTACTGTATCGTGCGTGTGGGGGGTGCACTATACTGTATCGTGCATGTGTGTGCATAATACTGCATCGTGCGTGTGTGTGCGCGTGATACTGTATCGTGCGTGTGTGCGCATGATACTGTATCGTACGTGTGTGTGCATGATACTGTATCGTGTGTTTGTGTGCATGATACTGTATCGTACGTGTGTGTGCATGATACTGTATCGTGTGTTTGTGTGCATGATACTGTATCGTGCGTGTTCTAGAATATGAAATTTAAGAAACAGACTACACAATATCGGCCCTAGAATATGAAATTTAAGAAACAGACTACACAATATCAGTTCTAGAATATGACATTTAAGAAACAGACAAGACCATATCGGCTCTAAAATATGACATTTAATGAAAAGACTGTACAATATCGGCCCTAGAATATGACATTTAAGAAACAGACTAGATAATATCAATTCTAGAATATGACATTTAAGAAACAGACGAGATAATATCAATTCTAGAATATGACATTTTAGAAAAAAATAACACATTATCGGATCTGACATTTAAGAAACAGACAAGACCATATCGGATCTAGAATATGACATTTTAGAAACAGACTTCACAATATTGGCTCTAGAATATGACATTTTAGAAAAAGATAACACAATATCGGATCTAGAATACGATATTTTAAAAAAGACTACACAATATCGGCTCTGGAATATGACATTTAAGAAAATGACTTGACCATATCAGACCTAGAATATGACATTTCA